CTGGGGGACAGAGGCAGGCAGGCAGCTAGGGGATGGTGGGAAGAACCAAGAGCCTCATTTCCAAGAGCCGTCTGCCACATTGCTGCTCCTAGTCAGTCCACAGCCGGTGGAAGGAAAGGCGCTCCCCTCCCTCCAGCAGGGGCTCGGGAGCGGGGACAGAGGGCAGTGGGGTAGCCAGGCAGCAGTCAGGGGTGAGAACGGAGAGGGCTCCCAGAGGGAAGCCCAGATCAGAGGGCTGAGCTGGGAGGGCCTCAGAGACAGCCCCAGCACCGCCTCAGCCAAAGAGATGGAGACCATGAGGCCAGAGAGGTGTAGGCACTCAGTCAAAGGGTGCGCAGCAGCAAACCAGCTCACTATAGTATAATTCCCCAAATACCCAGCACCCAACTCCTGACAACTACAAAGAAAATGCCCCTGGGATCCACCTCTCTCCATCACTGAGGGCTTATCTGTCACTGTAAAAAAATACCCGATCCCAGAGGCTGAGTGCTCACCCCTGGCCCCAGCACCTGGGGTGCACGAATTCCTGTCTGGGGCCCAGTGCAGTGCTGGGTACACAGCAGATGCTCAGTTGGTGCCTCAGTAGTCTGTGCTCCACAACTAGGCTGGGACGCCTGCCCCATTTGACACAGCCAAGGATAGAGCCCACCCCCATCATGTGCTTTCTCAAGATGCCCCTTGTGCAATGCACACCGCTCGAACTGGCTGTGAAGTAGACATGGAGACAGGGTGCCTGCAAAGGCTTTCTCACACTGAAAAGGCGCCATCTGCACTCCTGTGGCTGACCCTGGGGGCCTGCTGCGCTCCACTGAATAGTTCCAGGAACTAGACACTGTCCCCTCTCCCTAGGGCTGCCAGTCTTGGTCATTTCTCATCACCGATGTCGCCTCCCTGAGGCATTCCCGGGAAGCCTGAGAGATGAGCCCACTTACCAAAACTGTGTGTTGCTGAGGAGCAGAGCGCTTACCAAGACCCATGCCTTGTAACCATGACCCTCACATTCACGTGGGGCTGTGGGCAGAGGCAGCTCAATTCCAGGGGTGCTTTGAGGTTGCTTACTCAGACTAGGCTGAGCTTTGCCTCCAGCACACAGGGACTGGCTTCCCAAAGCCAGGAAGCGGGTCTGCTACATTTGATCCCAGCCTATTACCCACTGTCCACCCCCTCCCCCATCACTTGCTGATCAGCAAATGGGATTTTCATAATCCTCAGAACATAGGGCTAAGACCAGACTCTAAACTCTCACTGACTTGGATCCCAGTTCTGGTGCCACTGCTTTATTAGCTGAGTGGCCTTGGACAGCTTACCAAAGGTCTCTGTGGCCCAGTTTCCTCATCTACAAAAACGGGCTAACAATAGGGTGTGATGGATACTGAAAGCAAAGCCAGACATAAGTGATGTGGAGTCAGTTCTCAGTAATACATGGCCCTGGGAGATGGTCAATGATGCTTTGTTGAATGGATGGATTTTTAAAAAGTGCTAGCCAATGAGACAGTTATTATTATTATTATTATCAACATCAGCAAGGATCCCCAAGCCTGGTTTTGCAACCAGCCCTGGTGAGGGGTGTAGCAAAATTCTCCAAACAAAATGTGCTTCCATTCATTTTGGGTTTTTGAAAAGGCCACGTCAGACAGCTCCGCAGGGAGGAGGCGGCATTGCGAAACCCAGCACAGAAGGATCCTGGGCCCCACTCCTTGGCTCAGGAAAGGATGTGCCATCAGCAAGGGAGAGGCCCTGACATGATGGCCACCCCCAGGACCAGTGATTGGGGCTCCTGGATTGTGGGTCCATCCCAAACCTCTGAGCAACCCTGGGCAGTCACCCAACCTCTCTGAGCTTCAGTTTCCCCATCTGTCAAAAGGAGATAATGTCCCTTTTCATCCCTGCCCCCAGGAGATGGCTAGTAAAGGTAAGGACCAATGGCTTCAGTAACTGTAGAGTTTGCTGAACATACCCTAAAGGCTTCCAGCTTGGCCTGGGGTAGTTTCCAGGAGACTGCGGAGCAGGAGCGGAAACAGATTGGGCAGCCCCTCCCCCACAGGCCATAACAGAAGGAAGCGTTCTTTAGGAGTCTCAGAGGCCCCACAGCAGTCTGACGAAGTGAGGAGTGGGCCTGCCACTGCCCCCTCACACCAGTGATTGCCATTCTCAACAGGTGCCCAGTGACAGTGTACATAATAGCTGTTCCCTGCCCCTAAGTCAGACCCTTTACACCCTTAAAGGACAAGGTCATCTGTTAGAAGGAACTGCTGAGTCTCACCAGGCCCCTTTGGGCCCCAGCCCTGGGCAATATCCCTGCTGCCCACCAAAGCCACCAGAACAAACCAAGCCCCATCCTGTGACAGCATACCCAAGAAGCAGGGCCCTGAGGTCTTCCTTCTGGGCTATTAGGATTGCAAACTCTAGATAGGGGAAGGTAGAAGGTACCTCTGAGATCACTGGGTGCAAGGCTGGGAGCCCAAAGACAGGACACACCTCATCCAAGGATACAAGGTAAGTCAGCAACAAGGCTCTGGCACCTAGTGGCCACCTAGCCAAGCTTGCACACCGCCTTCAGGACCAGCCCGCCATGGCGACCCTCAGGAGAGCAACCTCCTCCTACAAGGACACATACGTGCCACATTCCCAAGACCACACAGCTGTCTTCCTGTCTCTGTGGATGTGGTTCCCTCAACCAGTCGGGCTCTCCTCCCCACTCTCCATCCACTCTCATCCTCAAGTCCTCCACACCCAAATCAAGTGCACAGCCTCCAGAATGCCTTTCCAGCACATGGACAGCACTACTCCCCATCACTAGGAAGGGCCTGGCAGAATGGCTACAGTAAACAGGACAGGTCCTCACCAGTTTGATTCTGTGCTCCCAAACTTAGCACAGAGCTGGGCACTGAGTAGGCCAGGAAACACTGTTGGCCCAAAGAAGGAATGGAAGACTGGGAATTGGAAAGAAGAATAAACCAGTAGCCTAGTGAATAAAATATGAATGGGTGATGATGTGAGCATGCCCCAAGGAGGCAGAGCCTACCAAACATGGCCCCTCACTCTCTTGAAGAGGCTCTGGGGTCCCACAGTCCCAGTGGTATTTTAGAGGCCACTGGCCTGTAACTCCCACAGATCCTGGCCAAATGCCTCTGGGTTTGCAGAGTCTGCTAGAAGTAGGAAGCCACAGGGACAGGCACGTGGGTAACTGGGCCTGGCCGAGGCTCGCACCATGCCCACTGCCCAGCCCTCCACTCAGAGGGGCTCACATCGGGCTCATCTCTCCCCTATAACAAAGCAAACGAACCTAGCGCCCATACAAGCCAAGATCTGTCCTCAGCGTCAGGGGAACAACATGAAGATGGAAACCTGTCCTTCCACGTCAATCACTCCAAGACACAACTAAGAAGGAAATGTTCCAGGGGTAGTAAAAGCAGAGGCCTTAGGGCTATAGAGATGGTGACAGGGACACCTGGACCTGGGCATCAAAGCAGGCTTTCTTCTGGAAGAGAGGCTGAAGTTGAACCAGCATGAACTGAAAGCAGACCTGGGAAACCAGGGAAGTGAGTGGCAAAGTGTAGCTAGACACCAAAGATAGTTTTGGGGGAAGAGGCTGGGGAGATGTGGGTATTTACCGAATACTAACTACATGCCTTTAAAAAAATTAAGTCTGAATTTAAGATTTTATGAGTTTATACTTCTGAATGTTTACATGGAATTGTTTACACGCACAGGAGCCTGCGAATGCTATTTTTAATGCTTTTTTGAAGGAATGAAGGAATGAGCAAATGACGGAAGGAATCCCCATTAGTTACAGATGTATGGTAGGGTCACTCTGTCACACAAAGTGCCTTGGACATCATTCTCCACACATAATAGTTCTGGCATTTACAAAGCCAGCACACCATAAACTGCACAAAAACCTAACAAGATGCCAGTGGGTACCCCTAATACACAAGATACGTCACTGAGTCCTCTGAAAGTTCCCAAATACACATTCCAAGCTTATGCTGTGCACTTCAAAAACACCAACTCAGCTGCCAGGCAGCCTCATGCCCAGGGCACAGCCCTCAAACCTGCAGCTCCCTCTCAAGGCTGGCACCAGCTGAATGCTTCCCCTGGTCCCACATAACCCACATCAGGCCCTGTCTGCCACACACCTCTTCAGGCTCGGCCCTGCCCACCATCCCAAACACCCAGCACCCTCTGGCCTGGCCTCTGAGGGATGAGTGAGGAAGGGTACCATGGACCCACACAGGACCACTCCCAGAAGTTGAACTGCCATTTCCCAGCTCCAAGAGGCCTGGGGACCTCACCCATCCCCGACATAGCACAGGCAAATGCACACACATCTGCCACCCCCACACAGCCTGGATCTCCAGATGCTGCTAGGAACTCACTCGGAGACTGCTGCTGAGTGGCCACTGAAGGCCAGTTCTAGGGCCTGATGGTGGCTCCCCATAGTCCAGCCACCAATCAGCCAGGGTACCAGTTCTGTGGCCCACTCAGTCCTGCTGCCCACCAGAGTCTGGCTCAGGGCCCCCAGGCCACCCAGGGTCCAGGCAGCCCACAGATTCTCTAGCAGAAAAGGGAATGGGCAGGTGGTCACTGGAGGAGGGACAAAATTCTACTGGGCTCCTCCATCAGGGACACTGAGATTGGCTTGTACAAGCTCTTGTCACAACGTTCAGCCTGGCAGAAAACACAGCCCCCTCCTACATGTGAAGGCCCAGAGGCAGCGGGAGCCAGGACCCTCCCCCTGACCCCAGAGGGCACGCAAGCGGGAGAGGCAGGGTAGTCTACTCTCTCGTGGATTTGGGGCCTGCAGCCCTTCCCCCTCTGTCATTGCTAATTCCTGGCAGGTGGGGACGCTGGGAACCTTCCCCTCATCAGCACTGTCCCTTAACATTGGGACTTCCCATTCTCAGGGCACCCCCATCCCCCCCCCCGCGCGCGCAACCGGCCTTCACCAACCTACAACCCCTCCCGGTTTCATTCCCCCCACAATATCAACAGTCTGTGACAGCCTCTCTCCGCAACACAGGCAGCGCAGAAGAACGGGAGAAGGGAGAGGGACGGAGGGACAGAGGCTTGGAGGGGGATCAGAGGCGGCAGGTTTGGCCAAAGAGGCCAAGGACCATCACATGTCCAGGTAGCAAGTGTCCCCTCCCAGCAGGCCCGGAACATCCCGACCCAGCTGGCCTCCGCAGCCACCTGGTCCGTCCCCACCCGCTCTGAACACGAACCCCTTCACCGCGGGGCGCCGCACGTGGGGGCCTCCCGTAGCCATGTGAGTGCCCCCCCAACACAGGTGCCCGGGTCAGCCCGGCCCCTCCCGGGCACGCAAACAGGGAGGGGGCGCTATGCAGCAGAGGGGGGGTCCCCCGCCCCAGATGCCACATCCCAGCAAAGAGCTCGGGAAGAGGGGAGCCGGCGAGGCAGCTCCCGGACGACCGAGGCGGGATCCGAGGCAGCTGGGCTGAAGGGAGCAGAGCCCGGGCCGCTGGCAGAGCCTCCGCTCTCCCCAGCTCCAAGGCTGGCCCGGCAAGGGAGGGGTCTGCCCGATCCCCAGGCCGCCCTGCGGATGGACCGCAGGCCTGAGGAGGGGGCTTCTCGGCTTCGACAGCCCCGTGACACGGGGAAGTCCGCGGGAAAAAGCCAGAATGGGGTCCGGCCCTGGACAGGGGATTCCAGGCCCCAGCGCCGCCGCCCCTCCTCGGTGTGAGGGTCTGGGGAGACCTGGATGGGACGATCCCACCCAGAGCAGGGGGCTTCCCGGCCGTACCGCTGCCCCTCCGACCGAGGCTCAGCAGAAGCAACCGGCAGGGGGAGGGGGCTGTTTCTGCGCCAGCGCTGCCCCCGGCTCACGGAGGTCTGTCCAGGAGGAGACCCGGGTTCGGGGGTCTTGCCGAGGGACAGGGCGCACCAGCCCCAGCAAGGGGGTCGGGACCC